TCTGAAAATACTGAACCCCAAAGAGATTGATTTGGTCTAACAGGAAGAGGGCCTTGAGATATGTGTTGGCTCATAGCTCTCCATATGAATCTATAGTACGGTCAAGATTAGCCATCAGTGCTCTGTGGGTATGTAATGTCTTGATATGCCATTTAGTGTCCAGTCAACTTGCAACTTAAAAAAGGAAGTGTGCAAATGCTATACTAGCATTATTAGGATTAAATAAGTGTTCACTACTAGTAAATGCATGTGAAGTGCTTAGAACAGTGTCTCGGATGCATAGGGTTGTCTAACAGTTAGATATTTAATGAGCTATTACTCATGTTAGAATATAACCAGAAATCAAGTCTACATGGCAAACAGTATATTATTCTCCAGACCATAGTTATGCATTTAACATCTCTACATAATCACAGTATGGTCTGCCTAATACTTATAATGTGAACCACTGTATTTCTGCTTCACAGGGATAACTGGCTAATCAAACTGAGCATTTAGTTGATGTATAATGAAATTACAGAGTGAACACAGATGGGGCTGTGACTTGAGACACCTGGTTTTTCATGTGGAATCTAGAGTCAAACAATCTAGTATAAATCCCACTTCTCTATTTCCTCAAGTCTCCTCTTTGTGACCTTGAACGACTAATTTATACTTCCAGCCTCATGGTATCACAATAATATGGGAATAAGTTAATCACTTGATTGCTTTCCTGGGAAAAATTTATAAGGAAATGCATTCAAAGTTCTTAGTTCAGTAGAGGTATGTAACATATATTAGGCACTTAGTAAGTGTGTGGTTATTACTATTATTGCATATTTGTCATAGTACAAACAGATGCTCACAACCTATTGATGTAATAAGAAGGTATCTCAGGTTTACGGCTGCCATTTGATATGATGCAGATAAGGCAACTTTCTAAGATCACACAGTAAATAATAATCAAGTCAGGGTTAAGACTAAGCTTCTTACCCACCAGACAAGAGCTTCTTTGCACTGAGAACAGATAACTTTTCAGTAATTTCAGTTGCCAGCTATGATTTGTTATTAGTATGCACTTCCTTAAAATAAGATACCTTACTTTTGAATAGCGGCTGAGAGAGTAGTAAGAGTTTCTATCAATTAAGCAAATATATTGGCATTTGTGAACCAACTCCCTTTACATAGTTCTATTTGTTTTCTTATTAGCATGCCATTAGTGCAAATTAATATGTTGAAATTTTCTTTGGTTTAAGTCTGCCTATGAAAGCCACAGAGGATATCCATTTAGATTCCTTAAATTTCATCTGTATTGAGAATTGATAGGAATACTTCATTGGCACTGTAAACTCAAGCAGAAACTCTGATCAAAAGAGTAACAAGCTAAAACGTGCAAAATTTTTTCAGATAGGCACAGTATCCAAAATTTATTCTGATGAAAAGAGTTAATGTGCCCAAATAAAGTACACTCAATTGCTACTTCATTTTACTAGGTATTTGACATTCAAATAGTGGTTTATTGAAATAACTTTGCTTAGTGCTTTGATTTGGATGTTGTTTGCCCCTTCAGAGATTTATGTGTTGGAGTCTTGGTCCTGAGGGTGGTGATGGTGTTAGGTTGTAGGACCTTTAAGAGGTGGACCGTTGGTCAATTGGGAGTGGGGGGAAGTCCTCCAAGAGGATTGTGGATCCAAGTATATCTCTAATTTCTTTCTTGGAGATGTAAGTTCTTTCTCACACACAAATTATGCTATTTGCCACTGGGCCTTCTAACTTTTCAAAAAATCTATTCTTGGTACCATGCAATGATGCCACTTCCTCTGCCTACATCTTAAATGTTGAGATGCTTCAAATTTCACTCTCTGGCCTTCCCCCTTTTTGCTTTATGCTCTCCCTCATCAATGCAAAGAGCATTCACAGTCATTTAGAATGTACTGATGGCTTCCCAGATATGTGTTTTCTTTCCATCCTGCATGTCTTCTCAAAGTTTCAACTGCTTCCTAGGTACATTCACTCAGAAGCCTTTTAGGTATCTCAAATTTTAATATCAGAATGCCACAATCTTCACCAGGGCTGGTTTAAGCTACCAATGTGATATCAACTAGCACACAAAATTCCAAAAAAAAATAAGTTGCCACTCTCATGATACAGAACAAGCTGGCTCCAGCGCACCTGTGCTGTAACTCATACCTTTCTCCTGAGACCCTAAACTCAAGGTTTGTTTAGGACCAGTCAGGCCCTTCCATAATTCTGTATTTGCATACATGTTCATTTCACATCCAATAGTGGTATACCTTTCTGTTTCCCTACATACACTTTTTTATTCAGTTATGTCTTTTAGCATGAATTAATTTTATAAAGGAATTTCATTTGATATTTACAACATATATATAATGACCTTTGATTAAATACACATACTTTTGGCATTTTTTTTGTTCCTCAAAAGCCAATAAAAATGTCACTTTAGATGGCTTTTAAAATTCCACTAAGTAGTGTCACTTACTTATACCCCAATACATTATTGTAATTTGCCTTTTTTTATGTGTATCCTGATTATACAGTAGTGTGTGAAGCATAGCACCCAGTCTGACACAAGGCAGAGTTTACTGAAGAGTGGTTGAACAAATCCTAAGACAATCAACTTCCTCATCAAGTCTACACAGTTCATTTTCAGTCTCGTTCCGCCTTTTAAAATGTGTTCTAACGAAGCCACAAAGTGATATAAAAGTAATAATGATAATAAAATATGAAACATTACTGGGTAAATATGAAAACACAGAAATATATTATAGTTGTCAGGTTGTTTAATAATGCAGAAAATCATTTTGTTTACTTTTATTTGCACTTAATATTTTTCAATTTTATTTTATTTATTTATTGGATCTTTTTAGTTCAAATCTGAGCATAAGTATTCTGTTATTCTACTACATAGCTCACTGAAGTGATAATAATTAGCTATATGTAGGAGCCTTCTTTAAAGTCTCTTCTCTTAGGTACGGAGTCCAAATCTGAAAGGTACCCAGATTGTGAATTTCATCAATGAAATTGAAGAATTCATTCTATAAAGTAACATGTTCTATTTGATATGTTGTAAGAACTTTTGTAAATGCCAGAGTTTACTCCCAGCCAACACAACAATAAAAAAATTGTGAAAGGTATCCAGAGCTGGATTTACCGAGATTGTGAATTTCATCATTGAAATCAAGACCATTCTACAAAGTAAATCTGAATTGTGGTTCTTTGCTTTTCCCTCTCCACCTCCTTATTACACAGACTTACTTAATAAACTGTATCCCAGAGGAAAGATAAGGTGCAAATGATTACTTTGTCTATAACTGTAAGTAGTTTGGATCTGTGTGCTCAACAGAGAAGAGAGAGCAGTTAAGCAGAGGTTTCCGGGAGCAAAAATGGCCCCAGTAGACATCCCACCTCTCATACTTTCAGCTCTTATCTGATTCTCCAATGATGCAATTTCACATCTGTTGTCTAGAAAAAAATAAATCAAGAGCACAACTGTAGCAAATGTGTAGGCTTTCAGCTATATTAGCATCAAAGTTGGGGGGAAGTTGCTCTCTAGTATTTTATTATATTTATGTTTTAAGTTGAAACTTTCTCACAAATTTGAGGACTATAACCTTAGTTTTATTTTTTCACAAAGACAGAATTTTGTGGATAGTATTTTTCTTGCTTACCTTTAAAACTTAATCAGCTGTCTTAATTTATTGCCCATGGTTTCTCTAAAAAACTTCCTGATTCTTTCATTCAACTCTGCCATATCATATGCTGTTTGTTATCTACTCAACCAGATTTTCAGCACAAGTTGTTTAAAAAACATGATCTCTGAGGGTGGAAAAAATGAAGTGCAGTTGAAAAGACATTTTTGCTGAAAGATAAACACAGCAATATGACTTATCAAAATGGGTACAATTTTTTCTTGCTTAATGAGTACAATATACAGCCTTCCAGTATATACACAATGGAAAAAAGGCTTTATAACACATCAAGTATGCTACATTATTTCAGGCATAACTGTATAGGATACATATCTTGGCCTGAAAGTGTAGATAACAAAATATAAGTGCTTTGCCTGTCTAAACATGTTAAATAAACGAGCATTCACTATCACATTCCAATACATTAGAAGATGTACTTGCATAGCTAATTTTTCTTTTTAATGCACTACATGTGATCATTTGAAGTGCAGAGTCAGAGTATATCTTAGTGTTTGAAGACAGGGTTCTTTTCATTTAAACAAATCTTTATTTAAATAAGCTTTTTTGAAAAGGATCTTTGGCATATCTTCTTTTCAGGAAGTTCAATCAGGGTAAATGGAGATAAAGAAGCTACATTATAAAGAATATTATATAAGTAAAGATCATTCAGTCAAAGTAAAAAGTACAAAAATGGCAACAGACATAGAGAGAGTAAAACTCTCTGGAATTTCATTTTTTAACTTTCTACATTTTAGGAGCATTTATTTATTTATTTATTTATTTTGTAGTCTGGGGCATTGCTATTGATGTATTATTTATATAATACTTCATGGGGAAGTAGGGATTGAGAGAGAGAGAGAGAGAGAGAAAGAGATGGAAAGAGGAGTAACATCTTCCCTAAGATACAGAAAGAGTAGCATCACAGGCATGCCTGGAATAAATTTCTGCAGTTGGGTCACCACCATGCTGATTTTCAGGCATTATACCAATGTGATAGCGTGTCTAATGTTTTAGGCAAACCTGTAAGGCAGATAATTGACAGAATTCTCTACAGATTATGTCTATACTTTTCTTAGTCTTCTCCTATTATGGGTAACTAAACAGTTTACTTAATATCAGGAAAATAATTCTGCATAGAAGTGGGCTGGAGAGCACAGCTGTCCACAGTGTCTTGATCAAACACTCCTCTCAGTAGAAACTGATGTGAACAACTTGAGAAGGTGCTCTTGACATCAATCTAGCTTATGACAGGCTCAAGTATCCCATGTCAATTCTATCTTCTTCTTCTTTCATTTTTCTTCTTAACAGGGGGTCAGCTTTGGTGCACCACTACGAAGGCCATCTCTGAAGGTGAAGAGCTAATTGCCTTTGTGGTAGATTTTGACTCAAGGCTACAAGCTGCCAGTCAGATGACTCTCACGGAAGGGATGTACCCTGCACGACTGTTGGACTCAATTCAACTGCTTCCTCAGCAAGCTGCCATGGCTTCTATTTTGCCTACAGCTATTGTCAATAGTAAGTGCTGAGTGCTGACGCCCAGCTTTGTGGAGGTGATGGGTATTTATGGGAGGAAAAATATCTACTGACAGCCAACCATCCAGGGAAAGACACTTTTTCTCCATTGCTGTGGTTTTATTTTATGTCTTCTCTAAATTTAAGTGTGTGTGTGTGTGTGTGTGTGTGTGTGTGTGTGTGTGTGATTGCTTTTCATGGGAGTATAGAAAGAATACCTAAATTCAGTCATTTCAGATTAGATTTCTGAATGTCATACAGGTAAAAATTAATGCTCTAAATTAGTTGAGTAATATTCAAGGGTACTCAGCTATGAGTAGTACAGTAGTTTTTACTGATATTTCTCTAGCAAACTTCTTAAAAGAGCCTGCAAGTCTATCATGCCCTTTGTCTCCTCAGAACAGAACAGCTTCACAGCCTTCACCCACCTAGTTCCTCACTCCAGCTCCCATGGTTTTTGCTAGGCTGTTCCCTTGATCAATATGATCCAAGCCCTCTTCATATCTCAGATCAGGCATATTATCATCTTCCTTCTAAGCTCTTCTTTGATGTCCTCTAACCTCTATTCCCTCACCAGTCTAGTAAGCATGTCTTTTCAACCCCCAGATCACCCTTCAAATTCCTACATCAGAAGTGTCATCAGGCTGTGATATAGTTCTCTAATCACTTGTTCTTTGATCCCGAGAGACTGCATTCTCCTTAGTACCAGCTGTTAGGTGTGCCCATTTATTTCACACCCCACACAATATAGAATCTGGCACATAGTAGGCTATCTACAGGTAATTTATCAAATGAACCAATGATGTCAGGGGTTGGCACTAAGGCTAACTTTAATACAGCCATCATAGTCTTACCTTTTAACCAATCAGACAAGCTAATTTGCATCACTATTTAACATGCATATTTTTCTAACCATAAATACAATATAAAATTAATATTTCATACTTTTAACATGGTGTCTCCTAAGTACCACTTCCTAAGAGTCTGTGGGAAGTTAAATTGCACAGTGTCCTGAACTGCAAAATGACATCCAAGACCATACTCATCACTGTCCACTTACTTAATTCAGAACCTAAGAGCAGAGTCAGAAAAATAGAACTATCTTCTGCTTTGTTCTTCTTTAGCTCCAATGAACAGGAGCTAATGTGTTTCTGTGTTTTTGCCTGCAGAGGATATATTCCCTTGCAAGTCCTGTGGTATCTGGTACCGGAGTGAGCGGAACCTGCAAGCCCATTTGATGTACTACTGTAGTGGGAGGCAAAGAGAAATTGCTTCAGTGTCAGAAGAAAATGAAGACAGTGCTCACCAGATTTCCAGCCTGTGCCCCTTCCCACAGTGCACCAAGAGCTTTTCAAATGCCCGAGCACTGGAAATGCACCTAAATTCACACAGTGGTAAGGGCCCCTTGTTTCTTCCATTGCTCCAGAAAACTCTATTCTTGTATAGTAAAGATACATGCATACATCCCATCCATCTGTCTATCTATCTATCTATCTATCTATCTATTCATATCTGTGTTGCTGGACCAGCCAGTATTATCTTTTGCCACTTATACTCAGCATATTTTATGGGCCCTCATTTCATTTCAGTACCTACAGCGCTCAGACTGCAGGCCAAATCACTTGATTTGTTTTTTTCCTGAGGCAAGGCAGCATAATTTTTGAAAGAACTTTTCCATAACCTTTGTATATTGTCATTATTATTCATTGCTTCAAGTGTCACGTGATCTTTGGAAAGTGACCATAGTTTTTCCCCTCCGGTAGAGAAGAAACAGTAGGTACATTTAGAAAAGGTTTTGCTGCACAAAGTTAAAGCTGTAGTTTTGGTACAGCTGATTAAAAATCATACTCAGGAAATTAACTTTTAAATATGAATTTCTCAAATGTTCTCAACTTCTAGAGTATGCACTGTTAGAACACAGTTGAATTTTATGACATAAAAATACTTTAGCTGGATGTTGCAGCCCATGTCTGAATACCAGCAGCTACTTGGGAGGGAGAGAGCAAAAGAATCATTGGTTGATGCTAGCTCGGACAGAAAGTTAGTGAGATGCTATCTCAAGAGATAAGTTTAGTGTGGAGGTGCATGCTTGTAATCCCAGCTATGCTGGAGGCATATGTAGGAGTATCACAGTCCAAGGACAACCTGGGCAAAATGCCTGAGACCCTTTCTGAAAAAAACTAAAGCAAAAAAGGCTAAGGTCATAGCTCAAGTGGTAGAGCACTTGAATAACAAGCACAAGGCCCTGAGTTCAAAACCCCAAGCACTCACCCACCAAAAAAAGTACTTTAGTACCATCTTTTTAAATTATTTGAGAAAAATGAGGCTGAAAACAACAAACAAGCTTTTTTAAATGTATCTATACCACAAAAGTTGTAGGACATCCTGGTGACTTCCCTAGCTGATTTTATGCAGATTAAATGAATGAATTTTGAAAAACCAACTCCTACCTTCTATGCTGTAATACAATGTAAGCTTTTATCTTTGAATCTATGAAAGTATTTCTAATCCACTTATCCTCTCACTTTCCTTACAATGAACTGGCCTCCTGTGGGTAAGAATGCAGGGGAGACAGAAAAGAGAGGAGTGATATCCTGCACCAGGCAAAAATGAACAGCAACTGAGAGGTCATTTCAGCTAAATTTAAAATGAGTGTTAGGAACAATAGAATAGGAAGTCCACTGACACCACTCCAGGACTGAGTCCATCTGCCATATTTTCAGATTACAAATATGAGGGTCAATTCTCATTTTAATCTAGAGCGAAGAGAAGAGTCGAGCCTGATTTAATCATATGCCAACAAATGGAACCTGAAGTTGACCTTAGCAATAGTTCCCTACTGCAGTCAACAGTGATACTCAAAATATCTAATAACTGACTACAAACAGGCAATGATCAATCAGCATGAATTCCAGTCCAAAACAATTCTATTAGTGTGCTCATGTGTACCAGCTCTATTAGTACACCAGCCGAATATCAGCCTAGACAGAGATAAACCATCCTCAGTAAAACTGAAGTTTAAAATTCTAGATTTAACTGCTTTACAAGTGATTTCTATTTAATTCTTTTAAATAAAGACCATATCCAGTACACTGGTGTTATAGTTGGTCTGCCTCATTCGTAGATTATTACACGTGCTACTGACCAAGCTCAATTTTTAAAAAAAGAACATTCCCACAGGGCTTAATTGATGGGGAGAAACTCTCAGTCAATCCCACCTTATTGTCATCCTTAGCATTCATAGTTTTTCCTCAGTAGTGGTTTCCTTGGACCATATGCCCCAATACCAATGATCTACTCTATTTCCATGCAGGATTTTGGTAGAAACGCTAATGAATACTCACCTCTTCCTCACATAGAACATAGCAGTGAGAAGGTTTACAAATTTGAAAACATGAGGCTTTGGTGTGGCTCCCTCATTTCATATCTTTATTGCCATAATCAGTTCTCTTAACTTCCTTGGAGTTTGTTTCCCAACCCATAAAACAGAGACAATGACAAATCCCAGCTCTATGTCATTAATTCCCAAGAAAGTGCCTAGGAAACTACAGTGTTATTACTATATCATGCATGTCACAAGGGAAAAAAGTCATTTTTACAAATGAGATTCTGAAAGATTTCAATTCCTATAGTGCTGAAGACATTAGGTCACTAGTAAAGGTTTCTATTGTTAAGAAACCTATAAGTATGGTTCTCAGTTTTCCTATTTTGTTTGTCTCTCCAGGAGTGAAAATGGAAGAGTTCCTACCCCCTGGTGCTAGTCTGAAATGCACCATCTGTAGCTATACTGCTGATTCTGTGATCAACTTCCACCAACACCTGTTTTCCCATCTCACTCAAGCTGCCTTCCGATGCAACCACTGCCATTTTGGCTTCCAGACTCAGAGGGAATTACTGCAGCATCAGGAACTCCATGTCCCTGGTGGCAAACTTCCCAGAGACAGCGACATGGAACACTCACCAAGTGGAACAGAAGACAGCTTACAGCCAGCCACAGACTTACTGGCTAGAAGTGAACTCCCACAGAGCCAAAAGGCCATGCAGACTAAAGATGCAAGCTCTGACACAGAGCTGGACAAGTGTGAGAAAAAGACTCAGCTCTTTCTCACTAACCAGAGACCAGAGATACAGCAGCCCACAACAAACAAACAAAGTTTTTCTTATACAAAAATAAAGTCTGAGCCCTCCAGCCCAAGGCTTGCCTCCTCTCCAGTTCAGCCTAACATTGGGCCTTCTTTCCCTGTGGGCCCTTTCCTCTCTCAGTTTGCTTTTCCCCAAGATATCACAATGGTCCCCAGGCTTCAGAAATCTTAGCCAAGATGTCTGAGCTGGTTCACCGGCGACTGAGGCATGGAAGTAGTAGCTACCCTCCTGTAATTTACAGCCCCTTGATGCCTAAAGGGGCTACTTGTTTTGAGTGCAACATAACATTCAATAACTTGGATAATTATCTAGTGCACAAAAAACATTACTGCAGCAGCCGATGGCAGCAGATGGCCAAGTCCCAGAGTTCCCTGGTGTCTCAGAAAAGATACCAGAAGCGGTGAGTCCTAACACTGGTCAAACCTCCATAAATCTTCTCAACCCAACTGCTCATTCTGCTGACCCTGAAAATTCACTTCTTCAAACATCCTGCATCAATTCTTCCACCGTTTTAGATTTAATTGGGTCAAATGGAAAGGGCCATGACAAGGACTTTTCCACTCCAGCTAAGAAGCTCTCCAGCTCCAATAGCAATGATGACAAGATTAACGGAAAACCCGTTGATGTGAAAAATCCCAGCGTCCCTTTAGTGGATGGGGAAAGTGACCCAAATAAGACTACTTGTGAAGCTTGCAACATTACCTTCAGCCGACACGAGACATACATGGTCCACAAACAGTATTATTGCGCAACCCGGCACGACCCTCCACTAAAGAGGTCTGCTTCCAACAAAGTGCCTGCCATGCAGAGATCCATGCGCACGCGCAAGCGAAGGAAGATGTACGAGATGTGCCTACCTGAGCAGGAGCAGAGACCTCCACTGGTCCAACAGCGATTTCTTGACGTAGCCAACCTCAGCAATCCTTGTACCTCCACTCAAGAACACAGCGAAGGGCTAGGAGAGTGCTACCACTCAAGATGTGAGCTCTTTCCCGGAATCGTCTCAAAGCACCTGGAAACTTCTCTAACGATGAACAAATGTGTTCCAGTTTCCAAATGTGACACTGCGCATTCCAGTGTTTCCTGCCTAGAGATGGACGTGCCCATTGATCTCAGCAAAAAGTGTTTATCCCAGTCTGAGCGGACGACCACCTCTCCCAAAAGGCTGCTGGACTACCACGAGTGCACTGTGTGCAAGATCAGCTTCAATAAGGTGGAGAATTACTTGGCCCACAAGCAGAATTTCTGCCCTGTTACTGCACATCAGCGTAATGACCTGGGCCAACTCGACAGCAAAGTATTTCCGAATTCAGAGAGCGAACGGAACAGCCCCGATGTCAGCTTTGAGAGAAGCATCATCAAATGTGAAAAAAATGGGAATCTGAAGCAGCCTCCTTCCAATGGAAACTTATTTTCATCCCACTTAGCGACACTGCAAGGCCTGAAAGTCTTCAGTGAAGCTGCTCAGCTCATTGCTACAAAAGAAGAAAACAAGCATCTGTTTCTTCCACAATGCCTTTACCCTGGAGCAATAAAGAAGGCGAAAGCAGCCGACCAGCTTTCCCCATATTACGGCATAAAGCCAAGCGATTATATTTCTGGTTCTCTTGTCATCCATAATACTGAGATAGAGCAAAGCACAACTGCAGAAAATGAATCTCCTAAAAGCCAGGCTTCCTCAAATGGGTGTGCTGTGCCGAAGAAAGATTCTCTGCCATTGTTGCCCAAAAATAGAGGCATGGTGATAGTGAATGGTGGACTGAAGCAAGACGAGAGGCCTGCTGCCAACCCACAGCAAGAGAACATTTCCCAGAATCCTCAGCATGAAGATGGCCACAAATCGCCCTCATGGATCTCTGAGAACCCGTTAGCTGCAAATGAGAATGTCTCCCAGGAATTCCCTCAGCAGAGGAACAGTTGTCTAGTATAGCAAAAGGCGTGAATGGCTCCACCCAGGCCCCAACCAGTGGAAATATTGCCGGCTGTGTGATATCCAGTTCAATAACCTTTCAAACTTTATAACTCACAAGAAGTTCTATTGTTCGTCACATGCCGCTGAACATGTCAAATGAACTAACTGAATGAATAAACATCAGTCACCTTTGGTACCAGTGTTTAGTATGTTGTTCTAACCAGTCCAGAAAAAAAAAAAAAGCTGAATTACATCTGGGCAGTCAGGAGATAATTCATTATGGCTGAGTTGAAGACTTACGATGTAATTTCATCACAGTCCATTAGTAAAGTGTATTATTGGTGCCATTTTCAAAAAAAAATTAATTTATTTTACCAGCAGTATTCATAGCTGTGGTTATGTTATTTTTATTTAAAACTTTATATTAAAGTCATTTGTAATGTTATTGTATAGTTATTGTGTAGCACATTGGTTTGCACTGTATAGTAGCTTTTAAAAAAAAGTCACAAACAATACAAAAAAAGCATTTTAGAAATAGCTTCAAAAGCACTTGTGTATCTTGATTTTTTTCTTATATGCTGTTGCAGATATATGTATATGCTAAAATATAACTTGCAAAGATGTTCTAAATACCCATGCTGTAAGTTCGCCTTAAGATTTCAATTCTTGGATAATCAGGCTCTGTTTGCACTTTATATTTTAGCAGATACAGTTTCTTAGTCACTAGGCTTTGCATTTGTATGTAGCTGTATGTTTCTGCCCATTTTTTAACCTTAAACATGTATGTTAATATGTTAAATGAAGATGGCAATTTTTCTTGTATAGTACTTGTATTTTCTTTCGCTGATGCAGCTGTCTCAATTTTTAAACCTTTGCTGTTAAATGCAATACTTTATAAAGAATGAACAAAATTACTGGAAGCAGTATTGTAAGTAATGAGGTAGTATCAATCAGTTTTATCTTTTGAAAGGCACAGTCTAAATCAAAACCCTAAACTCAATGCTGCAAGTATGAATTTAATTCATATATAAGATCTATTTAAATATAAGAGTAGCAATACTGCACCTGGTGATCACAAAGATAATGTTCTACTTCTGATAGAAATAATTTCTCAACAAATGTTGTTACTATGCATGTATACGGATGGAATAAAATTCCAGATTGTTGGAGAAGTTTGGCATCCTTTTCTTTTATGTACCAAGGAAAATTATTAAGCACTCAAAAATATCATGTACTAAGCAGCAACATTTTGGGATGAATAACATATTAAATTCTGCTGGCAGATTAGTTACCTAAGGCACACAGCTTCCCTTTCCCTCTGTTTTATTCATTGGTCCTCCACTGCATTCAAGGGATAACAACCTAACACCTAAGGTTGTTTTGCCAAAAAACAATTGCATTCCATGTCCCTTCTAAACATACTCTGATTTAATATGCTTTAGTAGCCTAGACAGAATTTAAATAACCCAGAACAATCTAAATATAAACCATTGCTCATTTACCATCCTTGTCCCATCCTATAATCTGACCTCAATTTAAAATAACTCAATATACATGTTTCAATATTGAAATTAAAATTGAAAATCAAATCATTGCAGAAACCATGAACACTATTTGAAAATCTGCTAGTCAGGTGGAATTCTTTCATTTCTGGCAGAAGAAAAAGTTAGAAGGTTTAAGTGCCCGAAGTCACAAAGCTAATAAATGAGAGCCAGAGACCTGAGTCTTGCTCTCAGATTGTATATCTCCATCATGCTTCTTTCTCCACTGAACTAGAAAGCAAATATTGAGACAAGTGATCTGATGTCACTTAAGTGTCTGGTGTCTGATTTGTAACATAAAGATAAACATTTTAATGACAGAAAACCCCCACCAGCTTGAACACTTGTATTTGAATTGATAACATTTTTGGGGAATGGGGTCACTACTAGGGCTTGAACTCAGGGTCTGTACCTTAAGCCACTCACTAACCCTTTTTTGTGATGGATATTTTTTGAGATAGGATCTTGCAAACTCTTTTCCCAGGCTGGCTTCAAACTGCGGTTCTCCTGGTCTCTACCTACTCAGTAGCTAGGATTTTAGGCACGAGCTACAAGCACTAGGCCTTGAACTGATAACTTTTGAGATTTTTCCCAGTATGCCATCCCTTATAAAGACCAACCACTGCCTGGGAGGCTTAAACACCTTCTCTTGGTTGTAACCACTGCCCCATACTCTACACTCTAGCTTCAAAAGAAAAGGCACTGCTTGACTTTTATCACATAACCCCAGGCATCAGATATACTACACTTTAACAATATTTCTTTGAAGTTCAGGAGGGACAGAATAGAAGAGAAAAACAATGGAAAGACTACATCTCAAGCATTCAAATAACCCACTGTTCATCTCAAGGTTTCTTCAAGCATGACCATCTGACCTAGCTTCCTACTCTCGTGCCATGAGTGCATCCATACTTCCCCATGCCTAGTTATCCTAAACCATCCTACATGTTATCCCAGAGAAAAGTATTTCCCCTTATTCTAGCCTCAGGGTTGGCCATAGAACACTCACATTTTGCCATAAAATTGACCCCTTTAAGGAGTCCCAGCCTTATTCCCTAGCCAGCGATTCCCAAATACATCAGAGCTCTCAGGCCAATGTCTTTGTGTCTTAAAATAGTTTGTGCAATCCTTTCACACATTGAGTTTTTTGTCTTGAGGGCCTCTTCTCATTTTCACTGTGAAAGTGTTTGAAAAAGAACACATATAACAACAAAAATGAAGTCAAAAATATAGGCAAACCAATTAAATTCATGCTTAGAACATTTCCCTAAAGGAAATTGCAAAAACAAACATACAAGGTCATTTCTTTCACAGGCAATTTTCTGTGAGTTTATGTAGTGATTGAAATTCTTGATGTTACCAAATGTCAATTATAACTTAATCTCAGAACATAACTAGCACCTGGCACAGATTAGGAATAATTTTAGTTTCAACCTATGTGCATTGCTTTTTCCTTACTTCACTCCCAAACTTTAAGAACATAGAAAATGAGTATTTGTTGAGTGAGTTAATTAATGAACAATGGATAAGAAGAGTTCATATAGTAATATATGAATGAAAGAAGGAGTAAATGAATGGTTAACTGAGAGTTCACTTAATATAATTAATTCATTAATAGAAAGGAGTAATCTGTAACATAGTTGTCAAACTATTGCTTTATAATATAGGGATAGATATCCATTACTTTGTCACATTGTGGGAAAATAAAATCATAGTCACATATAAAAGTCTTGTCACTCAGGAAGTCAACATCTGCCCAAGAATTTCAAGCTGAAGAACTTTATGTAGGGAAATAGTTACAAACATGTAGAAAAGTCTGGAGGAGTTGAAAGGGATTGGGAACTTCAGGAAGCCATCACCACCCTGAGGACTGGGAAGCAAGAGCAAAACTGTTATTTTGCAGAAACAATGATTATCCTGCTGCTGGGAACTCTGATACCATTGGATCCACTGCACTATAGATTTCAGGACACCAAGAGATCCAACTCCTGGTGTCAATAATGAAATCCAGGAATAGCAATTACCATCAGTGCCAGTTATGAAGCCAGAGACCAAGAAGGCCATGCTACTGTGACTGCTGGGGGTGGGGCGCCCTTGTCCTGCTCCTGGGAACACACTAGTTGCACAGGATTCTGCAATTGTCCATATTGCTGCTATTACCAAGGGTACCATCCAAGCAGGAGAGAGAGAAATTCTCCTCTTGTCTTCTAACATCTCACTGTGCCACCCACTGGCAAAACCTAACCAGATGTAAGCTTCCAAGGGAGTTTGGAAACTGTCACCTAAGAATAGAGGAACCACAAACAACAGGCTCAAGACCAGTCTTGAGGGATTGTGTCTTCCATTCAAGGTGGACCACAAGAACTTACAAACAACTAAAATTGCAACTACTTTTTCTTTCTCTAATTCAATTATCCTCTGGGGCATAAGGATAGGGAAAGAGGACTATGAACCTCTTCATGATTCCTTTAACAATTTGCCACCAACTTGGTGACTTAAAGCAGAAATGTATCTTTCCACAGATCTGGAGGCCAGAAGTATGACATTAAGATGTCTAGAGTACCTGCTGTATAATGACTTCCTTGCCTTTTCTAGCTTCTGGTGCTACCAGCATCCCTTGCCTTGGCTACATCTCCAATTTCTGCCTTCATGGTCACATTACCTCCTTTTCTTCTGCCTGTAATCTCTCCCTACCATTGTTTTATAAGGACACTTTTGATTTAAGGTTCACAAGGATAATTGCCCCCTGTGAAAATCATTAATCATATATGCAAAAACATGTTTCCTTTATATGGCAACATTACAAGTTCTAACAATTAGAACCTGATACCTCTGGGTCCGTTAGTCAGCTTCCTACAAGGGAGTTATTGAAATACTTTGTCAATATAGAAGAAGAGAAAAAGGGATAAGAAAGGGACTTATGGCCATGAACCAGGTTCTACAAATATGTGGTAACACACACAAATTAAGTTATTCCAAAAATGGTGAATCTCTTAGAACGTGATGGAAACACGAATATTATCAACAAAATCAATGACATCCATAAAGAATGTAGCATTGAGAACGCGCATCTCAACTCATCACTCAGGACCCAACTGTGAGATATAATTGAGTCAGATGACAACTATACACCCAGTCAGTATGTCTACTTGGAATGTAATAAACATTATTAATGCAGAGAATCATGAAAATCAGATACCAGCTAAGCAAAAGTTTACTTTGGCACTATCTAGAAAAAAGAGTTTGCTCAGTATATTAATAGAGTAAACAGGATTGAAAGAAAATAAACTGTTTTCAACAACCTTAGCTGCCCATTTTGCATACAAATGATATATTAATTTCGAACAGTTTTTATCTTTATATTAAAGAAGGATGTCAGAGCTTTTTTATTTGGCAACACTTCCTTGATCATTCATTCCATTTCCTATATGACATCACCTGTTTTCACATGCTGTAAATGTATCAAATTCACATAGTTTAGAACTTTTCCCCTACTGGAGTTCCATGACCCTCAAGAAAAACAATCAAATAAGATGCAATATTATTATATCTATTCAAAAAATGCAGTCACAAAAACTGTCTTTTAAAATTAAGAATAGAACCATAAAAATTTTATGGA